AGGCGCCAGGATCCTCCTGGGGTTCCCTGTGAGGCTGGGATCCTTCCTGCAGCTGGAGCTTGTCGAGGGCTTGACTGAGCATAGTTCTGCCCTAATAAAGGCCTGTTGGGGAAAGCTTGCTCTTCCCTCCTTGTTTGTGGCGCCTCCACACACACACACTTGAGAGCCTTCTGGGAATGGGAGTGGCTGGAAGGCAGGATCATAGGGAGACCAGGATCATGGGAAGGCAAGTCCACCCAGCAACTGCCTGCTCGTGGAGCCGGGGCTGTGGCCACTGCCTCTTAAGCCCTCTGTGTCTCTCTCCACACCACTCTTCTCAGGGGCTAAGAAACACTTCTAGGATATTTCCTCTTTCTACCTTGGCGGAAAAAATTTTTAAATTCTTTCCTTTTGTGCCAAGCTCTGAACACGCACCTACTCTCATTTATTTGAAAATGAGAAGTAGTGCCTGCTCAGTACCATTCGGGTGCTCTCCTCCCATAATAACCCTGTGAAGCAGGTACTGTTGTCACCCTCCAATTTTCAGATGAGGAAGCCGAGGCACAGCAAGGAAGGGGATTACAACTTCTGCTTCTAGAAATGCATCTCATAGCCTCTCTGAACTGCGGTCACCAGATAAAACCTCATGGAAGGCACCAAATTCTAACTAGAGAACTCTTGAATTTTTATCAAAAGTTCCAGAGCAAGTTAACTTATGCCAGCCACTTAACGCTGCCTTCCTTAGGAAAGGCACTCAGTGAGACTAGCTGGTCCCCACAAAGTAGCTGCCCTAAGGCCAAAAGGTGCCACACTAGGCCATGGAAGGTGCCAGACCAGCCTATGGAAGGTGTCAGGCTAGCCTACAGAAGTGCTGTCAGTTCAGGGGCAGTTAAGAACAGTACCCAGAAAAGGCAGGGTTTTTTTGTTTGTTTTGCTTTTTAAGACAGAGTCTCACTTTATTGCCATTGGTAGAGTGCTATGGCATCACAACTCACAGCAACCTCCAACTCTTGGGCTTGAGTGATTCTCTTGCCTCAGCCTCCCAAATAGCTGGGACTACAGGCACCTGCCACAATGCTTGGCTATTTTTTTGCAGTTTTTGGCTGGGGCTGGGTTTGAACCCGCCACCTCCGGCATATGGGGCCGGCGCCCTACTCCTTTCAGCCCCAGGCGCCGCCCCTGCTTGGGTATTTTTTTAGAGACAAGATCTCAGTCTGGCTCTGGCTCGGGCTGGTCTCCACCTCATGAGCTCAGGCAATCTACTCACCTCGGCCTCCCAGAGTGCTAGGATTACAGGCATGAACCACCATACACAGCCTCATAGGACACTCTGAAACAAAAGCAGAACTGGAGTATCTAATGGTAAAGGGTGTTATGTCTGCTACTGACTCTCATTGTCTGGAAAAGTTGTGCAATATAGGAATCCTTTGTGTTATATTTTTAACTTTTCTGTAGGTCTAAAATTGTGCTAATGTAAAAAGGGAAAACAAAAACATGAGCCAGACACAGCAAATCACCACTGGACTAACAAGTCCCTGAGCCCTGATACCAGCCACCTGTTAAGGGGATGAGTTTTTGTCTGAAACCTAACTTTGATCATAACCGTGAACATTCATACATAAATGGTAAGATCACAGTAGGAACTTCTAGAATGCACATCAGGGTGGTGAGTGAGCAGGGAAGGCCAGGTGGACGTTCAGAGGCCTGTATGTTGGTGCCAGAAGCTGGAGCCAGGAGCACCCTGTGGGCACTCTGTAATAGCTGGGCCCAGTCCTGGGGTGGTGTGAAAGACACTTAGGACTGAAGAGAGATTCAGGCTTTTTCTGGCCTTCTTACCATGTGATCTGAACATGTCCTCCCTCTGGCCACAAGTGAAGGTCAGGGGCCAGTGTACAGGCTGAGCCCTGGAGGAGTGGCTGACTGCCTATGCCCAGCACTCTGCCTGAAGACTGTGGCTCTTGCTGGGATGGCTTAGACACAGGTCTCATGGCCCTTAGTTAGCAAGGGGCTGGATAGATGGTCCTAAATGGCCTTCTCCATGGGCAGGAAAGGCAGAGGTGACAATGCCTAGAGGCAGAGGTGACAATGCCTCCCTGGCTGCTGGTCCCTGCATTGCAACAGGCTCTTGCAAGTCTGTGTACTCCTTCCTTCCACTGGGGCTCAGCTCTCCTGCCCCAGGTTGCTGGGGACCCTGCCCTTCTAATTCTGCTAAGCAGAGCTTCTCCTTTAGCCCTGACTCCCTGTAGCTTTCTAGTAACTTCCAGAGAATTCCAACCATAGTTCTGGCCATCATTTCTTGAGCATGTCAACCCTGTACAAGTGTTTTAACCCAATTATATGGCTTAATCCTGACAGCTTGTGAAGTGTGGATGACCACACACAAGCCATGAGGCTCACTGAGGTACCTGCAGCCCCAGCCCCCAAGTTGGGGACCCCACCTGTTGAGGGGCTCAGACCTTCCTCCACTTTCTCCTGACCACAGCCTGGCCCAGGTCCAGCAAGCAGAGCCAGATGGAGGGCTCTCTGACCTGGCAAGGTACCCAGGTGAGCATGGTGATGCTCCCTTGCCCTGGACATTCACTATTCCCAGCTTTCTGTGTGTGTCTGATGAAGCACAATGATGGTGGGTCCCAGGTGCAAAACAGTCCCTCCCTTCTGCCCAGTGCCTATGTGTCCCCAAAGTCATCTCAACCTCCTTGTCTCCTCTCTGTAGGAAATAAAGTAGGGTGAGGCTGGGGGACTCCTGAGGGAACAATGGGTATACCAGAAATTGCTGGTGAGCCCAAGGCTGAAAAGGTTCTCATTTAGGCTGGTCTGGGGGCATGCCCCTCCGTGGCTCTCAGGGAGACAGAAGGGTAAGGAGGGGCTATGACCCTACTCAGGTGCCACAAGCCCTGCACGCCTAAGACCTGGGAGGTATCTCAGTGTCTCTGGAGGCCCAGCAGTCCTTCCTCAGTGTATTTGGTGTCACCCAGAGTTGGGTCACTGGCCTCCTGGTTTGAACAGATGTCCATCACCCAAACGCAGGAGATGGATAGGTTCTACCCAGAAAGCCTGGAAAAAGCCACCAGATGGAGCAGGAGGCAACAGGATGTCATTGGGTTCAGGGGGACACTCTGTCGTGGTGGTCTTGAGCTCAAGCCCAAAGGCCAGGGCTCCCATGGCCCTTTGGACAGTGTAGGGTTGGAGGCTATGACTGTGATGGGCACTGGGGCCTCTCCTTTGGAGGGGGGGTTCCTTTAGCCTGAGGTCCTCAATAACTGTTAATTCAGAATGATGCAGCCAGCTTGGGGGTGCACATTCTGCTCTGCAAAGCTCTGAAACCTCCAAAGGGTCCAGAGTGGGTTTAAGGCACTCAGAGTGTGTGCAGAGTGGTGTGTGTGTAAGTGCATGAGTGTGTGTGTTCCAATGAAGGGCAGTCTGTGACACCACAGTGGGTTCTGATTCCCAGTGATGCTGCCCCTTGTCACTCTAGCAGTCCTGTGTTTGAAGGCTCCATCTGAACCAGCTCATTGGGGGCTGAGTAGTTAACACTCAGGGACACCCCAGAATCTTTTTTCCCAGGTCCCTGGGGACCGTGCACACAAGCAGGCCCCACATCTCCCCGTGCCTGGCCTCTTGTTTACATGTGGAGTTCCTGGGAAGGCTGGCCTGGTGGAGACTCAAGGGTCTAACTTCCTACCCCCAAGACCAGACAGTGACTAACGTGGGAGGGGCATGAACACTGGGAGAGAAGGGTGGCACCACCAGTCCATTAAATGGTAATAATCCCACCTGACATTTCCTGAATGCTGGCTTCCTGCCAGCCCCTGTGCTGACTCTTTATGTTCAGTATCTCACATCACCTGTAATGATATTGGTGGCAGGATTTAGCCTATTCTACAGGAAGAGGAATGGAGGCACAGAGTGGCAGGGCTCACAACAGCCTCTCTGGATCCTGGGGGCTTTGTTCTTAACCTCTCCCTGTACTCCTCAAAGTGTGATTCCTGGACATAGGACCCTCTGAAGGGCAGCTACAAACATGATGATCTCTGGGCTGTGCCCAGACTAAGGAGATCTAACTCTGGGAAAAGGCCTAGGAGCCAGCATTTCAGCCAGCTCATTCCTGGTGAAATAACAGCCAGTTAAGGAGTGGACTTCAGGATGGGGGGAGAGGGGCAGGTAAGGCACCCCTGCTGAGTTTGTATGTGGACAGTCTAAGGAAGCAGCAGCCTGGGGCAGGGCTTCCCTCCATCCCTGTCTATACCCCCCTTGGGAGGGTGAGAGGAGCGGGGGGAGCATTTGAATGGATAAAGAGGAGGGGATTGGGGACTGAGGGAACACAGTGAGGAAAGGGGGATAAGGGAAGCAGGTGGGGAATGAGGCTTCCAACACCAAGCTAAACTTAGGCGTGTTCTATTTTAGAAGGAAGTGTTTCCAGCAGAGGAGTGACACTATTGGGGACTTGGGAGGGAGAATGGAGGCTCGCGCAGCGGTCCTGGGAGGGGGAGCATCTGGTGGGCGACTGGAGGACAGAAGCAGCGGTGGGCCAGTCTGGTGAGCCTGAGCTGGCGAGGCTGCAGTCCTGGGCTGGGGACAGTGGGGGAAGTGTGGAGCCGGGGGATGAGACTCTTTGGCATAGTATGTTGACTTTAATGGTGGTGGGACGTCTTTGCAGGTGTCTGAAATGTCGGGCAGAAGATGGAAGTCAGAAGGACACCAAGACAATGGGGTTATGCTAAAAGCACGAAGGAGGGCGGGAACAGCGTGGGAGTCCCAGGTCAGTCGGGCTTCTCTGTGGCTCTCCAGGGCGCACGCAGTTTTCTCATCTGTAAAATGGGCTGTTGCGAAAGTTCAGTGAAGTAAAAGTACTCCTGGAAGCGCCGCACCAAACAACCGTCGGGTGGGTGCGGAGATCAGAGGTGCGCGCCTTCCGGATCTTGCGGCTCCGAGGGCTGCCCTGGCGACCTTCCCGGCCCGCGACAGGCGGGGTGAAGGGGCGGGCTGCTGGCGGCTGCCGTCAGTCCGTCAGTCCGTTGGCTCCTGGTGCCGCGTCTGCTTGGCTGTGGGTCAGTGGGTGACGCTGCGCCGGGGTCCCGCGGGTCTCAGACCGAATGGTGGGTGAGCGCGACGCCGACGAGGGCAGGGTCGCGGCGGCCGGTTGGGGGCTTGGGCGCGGCGGGAAGAGCACGGGGGCAGGGAGGTCGCAGGGCTCGAAGGTTCGGCGGCCACTGTCGCGGAACCACCGGGGAGCCTCGCAGTGTATCGGGCCATTTCTTTTTCTGGCCAGGGGCGCTGCGGGGCTGCTGGCTCCTGCTCCGCGCGACCTTTCCTCGTGGAGCAGCCCGCCTTCCTTCAACCTGGGCCAGCGCCTGCCTGGTCGCAGCTCCTCCACGGTGCTCCCTCACGGGGCGCTAGGGGTAAAGGGGCAGGAGGAAAGTTAGGGGGAGCGCGATGGAAGGGAGGTAACCTCAGAACTGGCAGTGCCAAAGGGTCAAATATTTAGACTTTTGAGTACTTTAGGCATCAGAAAACAGAAGCCAAGAGCCAACTTTTGGATCAAGCATGTTAGAGTTTTCAGCCTTTCCACTTCCTCACCAATTCCCACAGTGACTCGCCCCAGAGGAAAGGGGTGCTAACAATGTCCTCCTGGGTGTTAGGCAGGCCCTGGGTTAATGCCATTCATGGATTTAATTCCCTGAACCCACAGTGAGGAAACAGCCTCAGAGAGGTTACCTCACCAAAGGTCAGCCTGGACATGGGAAGTCTGGATTTGAATCCAAGCACCTGCTTCTAGAGCCTGCCCTTAAAGACCAAGTGATATCGCATGTTGTATCCATTTTACAGATGCCCAAACTGAGTGCCTCTCCTAATGTCCATGTCTGGGAAGGGGAGATACCCAGGGGGAGACTGCCCATGTCAAAGCCCATGCTGGAGAGGATCTGTCTTTCTTCAAAGGTGTTAATAGTCTGTGAAATTGGCTGGCCCAGTGGCTCACGCCTGTAATCCTAGCACTCTGGGAGGCTTAAAATGGCTGGATTGCCTGAGTTTAGGAATTGGAGACCAGCTGGATCTAGAGCAAGACCTTATCTCTAAAATTAGAGGGGTGTTGTGGCTGGTGCCTATAGCTACTTGGGAGGCTGAGGCAAAAGAATTGCTTAAGCCCAAGAGTTTGAAGTTGCTGTGAGCTGTGATGCCATTGCACTCCACCAAGGGTGACA